CCTCTAGCTCTCTATACGGTCAACTCTCACTGACAAGCTGCCCTTATCTGTGACGGGCTTCAGCTTTTTTATAGTTTAGCATACGCTAGAACATTTTGAACATTTTGAAACTGATGCGCGGAAAATCGGATCACGCGACATTCACCATACTGTATCATTCATCGCATCACAGTCGAATTTCGCCGAAGCTAAGAGCCGTGTAGGCAAGCGAAATTTAAGGGCGCGTGGAATTGGTCCCTCTGCCCCGAAGACCTAAGGCATCTTAAATTGCGTGATTGCCGGTAGCTTCGTATATCAGCAATTATATGTGCTCAGCATACATGTTTCCGTTTCGTCAGTACGGAAGGTGGCGCCTCGCTTTACCGTGGCGCTCATAAGCTCATCTGGAGCGGCACAACTCAAATTTTCTTGAAACTGTAGTTTAAATAAATAATCTTTGACAAAAATTTAAAACGTTTGATGATGTTCATTCGGACATTTAAAATCAGCTTTGTTGGAAGCTGCTTAGACTTGCTCATGGCTCTGTATTTGCGCAGGACTCATATTTTAATGACTGTCAGTGATTGAGCGTCATGTATCCATGAAGAGGGTGGGAGATTGTGTAAAAAGTGCCTTCCGTTCAATTGTTTTCTTCGGTATTGAATTTGGAATTAAGTTGAAGATTACATAAAGAATATTTGCGCTCATTCGTTGACGTAAAGTGGAGCATCTATTCACGGCCTACATTTTCACTCGGTTACAAGAGGCGTCCCACCAAACGAAGCCCAGAAAAACGTCACGGTTATTAAATGTTTTTATGATGATCACCACACGCTCAAATGAATACACGGCGAGGTATTATCGTACCGGGATACTCACTGCTTGATATTGCCATAAGAAAAATTATTGGATTCATGGGAAGAAACTGCAGACCGTGCAGACCATCTAATGTCAGTAACTTATCCGCTCACTTTAAGCAACTTTGGGTCTGTTGCTGCCACCCTAAACATGTTTTTGGGCGCTTCGCGAATCGGTTGGAAACGTTTACGTACATTCTCAGAATTTCTCGCTTGCTCAATCAATTTAGCCTTCTGGATCAAACAAGCACCCCATGTGGCAAAACAGAGTAGATTGTCTGGTGTTGCACAGATACGGTTTGTGGTCAGCACATAGCTGGAGCATGTGTTTGTGCATCTTGATTCCAGTGCAAGAAGACCGCCTATGTGTGTGCGTCGATCCCCATAACTCGAGTCACCTGCGCGATCACATCCCCGGTAACCATGCAAATATATGAGCCCTCAGCCAACCGCTGCAAGTCACTCAAAAATTTGAAGACAGTCGTTAGATTCACTAGGGTTACGATTCGCTAAATCTTAGGCATCGAGCATCGGTGTGTGTACGGGAAATTCTAACATACCTTGCTCATTGAACCGCACCAGCGAATGGAACTATTCAACTATTCATCATCATCCAGTGTTGTTTTAATCACTAGACTTCCGCATTCAGAAGCAATTGAAAATAGATATGGTGATGGGCGGAACTTATAATTTGAATTCTCGTTTTAGACAGACAGCAAGCGCCATTCGACAGTAAATCTCGCACAGATAAAAGGGCGGTCAACGAATCACAACAGCTTAACCACCGTAACTCCTCCAAGTTGACGAAAGTATCGACCTATCAGGAAGGCTGAGCATTCGGGCATATCCATCTTGGGCTATTAGGCGATCTATATTTGGTCCACTGAACTTTATCCTGGAAAGTTTTTTCCGCCACTAACTTGAATAAAATCGGTTATGTAAACGCTCTAGCGTTTTTACTACTTAAGTCTCATAATCTCGCACGAAGGTTTGGGATGAAATCAATAGTGAGACCCGCTCAGTACCCAAAAAAACGGAAGATGTTTTGATAGTGTGTTTGACAAACATGGAGAAAATTCGCGGACGGCGTGCAGAATCTGACGGATGCTCTCTCCCGTATTGAGGTCATGATCAATTTTAGAAAAATGCTAACTAACTTGAAAAATAACATACACTAGATATCTAGCTAGTTTTCGGCGGGTCACCATTGGAAATCAATCGCTAATTTCGCGTAATTTGGTTTCAGGCGGAAAATAATGTGATAAACCTCGGGAATCGCGCCCACCTGATGAGCCAATTACAGAACGACACCGGTCATTTTGAAGAGCCTCAAGCGACCCAAGTGAATAGTGTTTTCAGTCTTGCCACACTCGATATTACTTTTGTGATTAGCGTAAAAGTTCAAGCGTCTCGTATGAGTATTTAGTTAGCGCTCGCGAAAGTACTTCTGTTTGAAGTAGTTTTTGGACAAAGGGCTCATTGCCCAGTGGCTACGCGAACGAAGCCGCTCAATTGACACGTATCAGGGGTAAACTGACAGCCGTTGAAAATGGTTGTTTCGATGACGGCGTCATTTTGGTATTTATTTATTCAGTTATTTATTTATTTATTTGGTAGCCAGCAAAAATTGGGGGACGTTCGCGTTCTGACCAAAAACACCTCTGTCAACGCATTGAGTGCTACTTGCTGTCAAATCGGTAACAACAGCATTTTTAGCGCCTGTCGCAAAAGCGTGACTGATGGTTCCGATATCACAACAAGCGGTCGCCTTCCCGAGAATTGCGATAACAATTAGTTTGGCATCCCAATCTGGTGGTTTACAACCCACTCTGGCTTTATTATTGATGTCTGTCGCAGAAGTACTCCTCGGATGCAAATATCCACTATTTCACGACGCGAAATCTATCGACTGGATGCAAACTACAGAAGGTTTTCAGTGACACGCTGAATTAACTGCTCATGACAACGGTGGGTAACCACATGTATTTCTGTCGCTACAGTAACACGACTATCGCAGGAGTACCATTTTTGCTCTTTGGAAAACGCAACTTTTGGGATTCAGCTTTCAGGTAACAGCCATTGAGATTTTCAGATGTATGCGATCTAAATATAAGCCAAGAGTAACTGGAAACCCCGTGCTGGCTTCACTGACCTCACAGTTCCTTACTGCCAAGCTATTTCCCACCTTCATGATTTCCTGTCTGTCACTCGACTGTCAGTCTCCACTCTCCACACTATCCACTCTCAGTCTCCACTGACTACCTGGGAACTTTGTTGACATTTTGCAGAAACCAACCCGTGTGGATGGTATCAGCCTCATTCTTAGGTCTTCTAGTTTCCCCGACGTTACTCGGAAATCCCACCTTTTCGTTAAGGCATTGTTCTGCCCGCATTAACGTGGCTCTAACCACTAGTTGGATGAGGGAACAACGCCTTCCATAGTACCCGCCGTTTCGACTTACTTGGACGTTATTGACGAAGAAGAAATTAAACTGTTAAGGTGATAACGATTATTTCGAATTGCCGCTTTTTTACACACTAATTCCTCTTGGATGCCAACTTGTTGCCAGGAGCAAAGGTGAAACACAAGGCGATCGTATTTTTCTGATTCAGAAAATCACTGAAAATCTCAACTAATTGGAGTTGGCTTGCAACCACAAATATACTTTTGGCTACTGTAATATATCCGCTAACCGTGAACCGTCTTGTTTTCTTCACTTGCGTCCTCACAGGAAATCTCTGCTTTTATTCCACAAATCGCGTTTGTCGCAGCGTTATCCAGACATGCAACTGAGTGTGTAGACCAGATGCGAGCTTCAAGCAGTTTTGGACTTATTGGTAGAAAATATCCCAGACGTTACAATTAGCAAAGTTTGACAGTTAGCTGTGGTTCTTGTTTAATCCCGTCCAAAAGTTTACAGTCATCAGAATTCACAGACAGGAAATACTACTCATGAGGCCACCAAAAGGTACCCGATTTTTCGGCCTGGGATTCATGAGTTTAGCGCACATCCCCAGTGTCCCCCGCGCGGCAGATGTTGATTCAGCAAAACGCTATTTTGAACACCAATTCGGATTCAACGCCGACTCAGCTGACTTTCTGGTGAACCCTCACGCGTTTATGCTAATCTTGAGCCGAGTGCATTAAACGAAGCCCACCTCAAGTTTCTTTGGTACGACATTCGAAATGTGGCAGTTTTATTTGATGCAAAACATTCTGCACCTGAGGTTGCTGAGAGTTCACCGGGAGGCGAGGCTGATATTGCTTATGTTGGGGCCTATCGTAAACGAGGGTTCAATTCAGTTTTATTTGAAGCACTCTGTAAATCACACGAAAACCCGTCAAAGATTGTTTGTGATGAGGAATCTTTTGAAATTGTGATAAAGTAGTTAACCATGGCGGGAAAATGAGATACTCAAAATGGAGAGATAACAAACAGTTATCTAGTTAATGTGAGGCGAACAAGCAGACGTGCATCGAGTCAGCCTTGATTGTACAAGAGCATTGGTTTTACCGCGGTTATCCTAATTCAGGGGTGGGCAATTTGAATCCCTATAGAGATAAGGGAAACCAAACTGGGGGATGAGGTTACTAGCATGCTATCCACATGCATCGATCAAACGGGACCCTTTCATTTACCGCTAGAATGTGTAGAATATTGGCTGAGACAAATACATTCACGGTGATCATCCGTAGAAAGGCAATCTATAGGTAACGAAAATTACCCGTTAACCCAAGCATTCGTGTTTATTGTATAAATTTAAAATCGCAAGCAGTTGCTTATGGGGATGAAGCCTTTTTTCTAGCAAATAACATTTGACCAAAAAGTGATTTAGAGGACGACCGCGTTCTCAGCAACTACGACAAGGAATATCCGTCTCAGTGTGTTAGCCATCAAGCTATGTTGCGCATAGAGAGTCCGAGGCGGCGAACAGAACGGTAGACGACGCCACTGCACAAAGGAACGCCGGTATACATCATAATTTACCTGAAGACATGCAGTCGTAAAATGGTTCACAAACATCAACTTAAATTACTTTTTTTCTGAACTAAAATCTGAAGTCCTAAGTCCTTCCCAAAACAGATCAGATTTCAATAGTTTCTGCGTACGCGCCCCGAATAAACAGCGTCACAATAAACCATAGTTTATTTTAAATATGCAACTGGAATGTAAAAGCATCATGATTAAACAATGCACAGAACATCCATCACTGGACTGCGTTCTGCGCTAAACGGAAGTGTCTTATGGACGGTTTGCTTTGGCGATTCCTATCCGTGAACCAATGCGATCAAAAACTGTAAACAATCGGAACATCACTCTGTGACCAAATATCCATCCGGGCCCGGACGATGAGGCGCGCATCCCCAATATGCAGGTGACTTTCCTTCTATCCATTCTCTGTAAACACAGTACCAGTAAAGATTGATATAACATGAAGGGATTCCTGATGGCAAAGGATCATATGAATTAGTTGGGTCATCCAGTTTTCGCCATTTCTTGGATAGATATGAAAACCGTAAGCCTTGGTAACACAGCATGATTTCTCATTCTATTATCCGTCGGTTTTTCCAAAAAACCCCATACTACATATGCCCAAAATAGCTGTGTTAACGGTGTTTATACATCATTGTTAGCTTCATAGGAAAGAATGTTTCCACCGTTCTGCATACGCTGTTACATGAGCGCACATACGTATCTAACAAAATCGAGAATTGGCTTAATTAAATAATGAACGATCTGGGTAATATACTTTGCTACTTGAAAGTCATCTTTCTCCTGCTATGACAAGGTTCTCCGCAAACAGTGAAATGCAAGAAAGACGAAACAACATGCAACTCAAATCGTTCACGAGCCAGTCAGACCATGTCCAAGGTGACCACTAAAATCGTTATCTGGATAAATGCCAAAGATTATGTTTTAAACCCAGACAAGGTTAAGCAAGAATGGAAAAAGCTGCCCAATCATCCGCGCATTGTATCGCTCAGGATAGTGACAAATCGCGAGTTGTCACCTACCAAAATTCCAGCAACAAACAAAATTCATGACATTTTACTTAGATCAATTCAGTGTTCTGCAATCGTATACATTCATCACGTCTAATGAATGAAGCTGAAAGAGGTTTGATCAGTCTATCAGCCCCAACAGAAGGAGAAGACGCCAGAACGGCTTAGGAAATTTTAGGACTGTTTCTCATACCAGTGTTTCAGTGCCTGAGTTGTCGCTGTCGAACATCATCTAAACCCAACTATCAGTCCTTATCTGTAGCATTTTGTAGCCAGCAGCAAAACATGTAACTTCAGGGGTAGGAGCGAATAACCGACTAGGTGATTATATCATCAAGTAAGACTACTGATGATGAGCATGGAGTTAGAAGTTAATCTGTTCAAGACCACAATTATAGCCCCGTGTAAAGGAGTTGCACTGTCAGAAGGTAAAGAGCCAAGAATGATGTAGGTACAGGTTAGATAAAATGATTTTTTTCTAACACTTCTGAGTCCATCACCCAACAACGTGTTCATTATGCGTTCGTACCAGGAGGAACAGGAGGCGAGACCACGCGGTCATAAGGTGAGCAGAGGCGCGTTTGACGAATTTCGACAACAGTTTGGTTTCCTAGTCATATAATATAACATGGATTCGGTTTCACAATAAAAAACCATTGACCATACCTGAGGTCACTGTAGAAAATCATGAGCGAATTGCACACCTGTTCATCACGATCATGTTGTCTGACGAGGGTATGATTATGGCTCGTATCTAGGCGAGCTATCGAATCAATGCAGTTATGAAGGGAGACGACAGCGAAAAAATTGCATTTCCAATCCAACGAAGTACGGTTTCCAGGAATCCCGAAAGACAGAAGCATCGGCACAGTAAGGGTCCATATTCAGTCGTTTATCAGATGATTTACATTCAAAAAGTGATTGGCATGACCCATTAGGACTGTTTGTTGTCCAATCTCTCTTCCTACTTTGGTTTGTTTAGGTTTTCTGCGCAAAAAATTCAAATGACTGCGCTTGAGCCCGTCGTCTTACGATGACTTGATGACTGTTGATGACTTAGCACAACAGCATCTTAAGACACGACTCTTAACATTGAATTTAATGCAACACCAACGTGACGTATAGCGACCACACGGAAAGTGGCCAGTAAAAGCCCAGCTGCGCGGCAGTGAATTACTTTCGGATGTTGTCTTCTTATTGCTAGGATGTGACAGCTTTCCTTCGTGGATATCGTCGATATTTCTAAGTAATTAGGTGTCTGGCCGAAATGCCTGGAGATAAGACGAACAGACGGAATCGCGAAAACCACGACCGTCGAACCACAAATACTGCTGAATTTCATTGAGGCGAGATAAAAAAAATTAAGGTATTAGATCAAGCTGCCTTAGACAGGTGGCGGAACTTGTTTCACACGGCAATGGGGTGATAGATTTCTAAACCACGCAGTGCAAAATAGGGGTAAACCGGAGTTCGGATTCCGAAACAGGCGTCGAGAATGCTCAATCCATTAATCCCCCGGATATAGACTGCCACCTCATCCAGCATCCATCAGGAAGGTGCCAAATCTGCACCCGGCAACGCGTGCATGACAGGCTTCGTAGTACAGGTTGCAACGTGCAGACATGCGCACAAATCTGAACGCATAGATTTTATGGGATGTTTTTTCATAAGCTGGCAGCCAACTCATGTGCCCACCTTCTGAGTCTAACGAGAAAAACTGAGCTAATTTCGACTCATATTCTAATCACTATTATTCAGGTATGTAGTGCGCTGAACGACGATATCCTGAAGCACTTGAGCAAAAAGCTACCGGACTGCCTGTTGCAGGTAAATCTGTTAGCCAACTGGCGGTCCCGGGATCAGTTCTGTGAGGTCAAAATAGACTGGGCGCGGCACCATTTTCAAACGCTAGATGAACCAACAGATTATGACTGTTTATCAACTGATAATTAACGCATATGATCAAGGCTTATTTTTATGTAACCACCGTGGGCTAATTAAAGGGCTATGAAGGCCTGCACAATTATTGGGCCGATATCGCTTCTCCGCGTCCGCATCTGAGCTAGTTTCTGTGGATCTCACCAAAACGAAACTTCAGTTGACAAACCTAGCCTCGACAGAATCCATCGGGAACAAAATGCTTCCCGCAAACTGGTCGGCTTGGTTGGGAGCATAATGCAGAAAACAGTTACCCCGCTTAATGGGAAGCCTGGGCACAGCGAAAGTGAAAATCGAGTAACAACCAGTTTTTGTTCACCTAATACTTATTCATCTACATAGTCAACTGTAGTGTACTAGTTTCCAAAGATCATAGCAACATCAATAAGATGCGCTGCAGGATGGCACTATTTGTTCTGTTGTTACAATAAGAAAAAATTAAGAATAGTTACTTACACCTGGCAGGGAAACATACTGTGTTGGTCTCCAACACGTCAACATCTTTTGAAAGTTACACTTCATATACGGTTATCGAACAATAACCAGAAGTTTGGTACCTTCTCAGGCTCATCAATCAGGTGGGTGTAATTTTTCTGTCGTCGAAAACCCGTTTTTATCTGAACAATGATTCTTCAAAAAAATCCCAAAATACACTAATTTTCATATTTTTAAAGGAGGATTTATCAGAGACTTAATAAAGTCCTCCTTTCTCGAGTATCGAAACACGCAGCACATTCAAAGGAAGAATGCGATGAAAAAACTGTTTTAGCTTACATGCATTCTAGTCTTTCACAAATGCCAACTTTATCTGCAAATGTTCCTAGTCTGACAGGATGCCCTGTTCACGAAATGTGTCCAACATCATCCATCTGCAACAAGTGCAAGCGAATTCCTGCAGACGAAAATTCAACTGTCGGTGCACAAATAATCAAAAGGTTGCGCGACATGCATGTGTTTAGTTTGTGACCTACCAGATGATACGGACACTCTTGTGCTACGCCGTAGTTCTGCGCACCTAACGTTACCGACTGATGGGACTTCTTTGAGTAAAAAATTTGCGCCAGATGTATGACCGTTTCTTGTAAAGCTCTAGCAAGTGCATCTACCTAAGCGAAACGAACCCGAGCAATATTCTGCACAGAATAATTACAGAGGTTTGTAGAGAATGTACTCACCTTTTCCCAGAAATCATTCATTCTCCATTGCAATTGCTGCCCGCCAAAATGAACAATAAGTAACGGGTAGTTTTCGTTGCAATCCATGACATGTGCTCCCAAGTGCATTCGGTTAGTTTCTACATCTAGCAAACGTTGAGCTTCTTCGATTTTCTCTTGGGGCCCATATAAATAAGGAAGTGCGGTGTTGAATTGAATGTTGCAATGTTGCTCACATAGTACAACTTGTCCCAGTAAAATTCTACAAATAAACATGCCGTGTCAGTGAACTCCAAAAGATCAATGTCATCTAAGTCAACTGTCACAAATTATCCCCACCACACAAATCGCACGTTTTGTTGGCTCGTATTGGGAGTAGCTCTGTCGTATATTACCTCATAAAATTGGAACGACATCACGGTCACAAACTCCGGTCAGAAAATGGATATTTGGATGCAATTTCGCACAGTTAGCTACACACCTAATTCAAGTGCTCAGGCAGTGTAAATATGTACGACAGGATAAATGGGTGCTGGCAATTCTTTGGTTTCTACACCACGAGAAATAACTGAAATGTTTGCACAAAATGCATGCGGATTTGGACAGGCAAACGGCTCAGCATTTTCAGCTGCTTCACAGAGAGACCAAAGTTAGGAAGTTTAGTGGATAAATTATGTCCTAAACAGCGAATTTCCGGACATAAATTCTGGTACCTTTGGCGTGTAAGTCAGCCACCGAGTCAGGCAGATTGTCAGCTATAAACCGTGTAAAAAGAGTTCACTGGTTTTAGGTGCTGCACTCTCTGTCGAAGCAATGTGTAGGAAAGTCGGAAATATAGGCTATCATTGGAGGTGGTGGCACAATCGGCTAGTTTGAACAACTGAGTTGCTCGTCTCTGGAGGCAAACATCTGGTGCGCCCGCACCACAGACTGCGCGATTAGCTACGTCTACCAGTGTCAGTACTCATTAGTGTGTTGATTCAGTTCACATTCACTGAGGTGCCGGTTATCATCATGGGGTATCTGGTAAGTGGTTTTTATTTCAATAACATCCGATTTTTCAGCTTTTTAGGCCTGTATAAAATGATCTCCGCGAGGCAGATGTTCCTCTGTTGAGCAGAATACGCGTAGAACAATTAACCTAAGAAGCGTGATTAATTGATCTATCGGGGAATCGTCCGGTCTCCATAGCCTGCTTCAGTATTGCTTATCAATTGTTTCCACAAGAGATGAGCATTGCCAGAGAAAAACCAATGATAAAACCTGACATCGTTCTCCTGCGTTTAGTAGCCATGTTCCTGGTCCATAAGGTGGTATGGATCGAGCTGCTGCAAAGAGAGCCATGTCCTTGAAAGACGAACTGATGTCCAGCCGGCGCCATTCCTGTCCAGAGTTCGAACGATCCCCCGTGGAATTCCCGGCTCATGAAATACTCCTGTCGCCATCTAGTCCAGAATAATGCATACAAATTCCCAGGCAAACCAATTTAACCACCAGGTCCATCGGCTCGCCTGCATATTGAGGTGAACACTCACTCTTGTAGGAACACTACGAATTCCTAGGTGTGAAGTATAAGCAACGCAGTCCGGCAGAATTTCTTGGGTCATTACTTTCATTTTTGGTTACCTGAACCAAGAGAGCAGCGTCTATGAGGAAATGTCTCGTGGTTATTTCAACCCACGATATATGAGAGACAGGCAGACAAATATGAAGTAGCATATCACTGAAAAAGTTGCGGAGTGAAGACAATGGATCGCAGACTTTTCTTACAACGTTGGACGTGGTGGACTCAAAGAAATCGTGCTGTATATTCGTGACCGTCCACAGGAGTCCTCTTACAAAGCCTCATGAGTTATGTAATTTGCATCCGACACCTTTAAATGCCGAACACCGTTGAATTGCCCGACGGGCAACCTGGTCGAAAATAGCTCTCATATCACACAAGTTGACGAATATAAGTTGTTTGAATGGTTGGCGATGTCAAAGAACTTGACCTAGGCTAAAAATTGGAGATTTACTCTTGGTTAGGGCAAAAATGGCTTTAATTCCAAGAATCTGTCTCTATACATAATGGATCAAACTGGGAGCATTAATGTTAGTGAGTGTCTTCGATTGAAACATGGCAGCGTGTTTGAGACGCTCCATTCTAAAGGGATTTGATTTTCTCTTATATCTTCCTACCTTGGTAAGTCATTTGAACAGGGCGATGAGCTAGTTGATTTGTGTGATCATGACGATTGCATTCTTGAAAATGAATTGCATTTCTGTCCTTTTGCATCTGGTTTGCTGCTTTATGCCTTCTTTAGTCCGTTGAATGTATTCGCCTAAATAAATAAGGTGCAGTTGCTGCTTGAAACGAAGGCCTCCACTATCTTCTAGGCAGTCTCCACCAGCCAGCGCTAGGAATGTAACCACGTATCGACAATCGCACGATGAGTCCCGCTGTTTTATGATGCTGTGCAACTAACGATTTTGAGTTTACCGGTCCGAGAATGTACATGCGTATTCTAAATGTTAGAAGATTTCCTAGGGAAAATTTAGCCCTTTTCTGTAAACCCAAAAAGTATCAAATCCAGACTGTAACGGAATACCTTCGGTTCATGTACCAACCATCAACTATTCAAGTGCCCAATTCACTTTGGGGACACTTTTTATTTTTGGCGCCTGATAAATGCACGAATTTGGCATAAACGCAACTTTTCGTTTTCCGTCACAAATACACTGGATCGTACCACGGTATGGTGGTGCCGGAATTCCTTCGCTCAGTGAGTTTTGTTGAGGGATGTCATTGGTGTGCATTGGGGATCACTCCAAACTAATTAGTGCACGAGTAGAGGTCTGAACAACACAGCCTCCTGGCCTACCAGGGTAAGGGCTAGAACATATCCAACAGCTTACTTCCAAAATTTCGGTTTATCTAACGGCCTTACATTAACCTGGCTGCCTTGCGGTTTGGTTTCTCACTTGAGCCTGTGGTTGAGGAACCCGTTGGTTTTTCTGTTTAGTTTCGAGCACCCCAAGTTCAATCATGAATCACACAGTTTGTGCGAATATTGTCATCTGGTGTTATTGCCAGTAATGGTAGTGATATTTCGTTGGTGGTAATAAATTGGTTAGTTTTTAGATCATTTTTATTTGAGTTGAAACCTAATACAAACTTCCGTACACCACACAACGGGATTTCAAATATAGGTCTTTGCAGGTAAAAAAAAACAACAACACACCCACAAATACCAATCGCTTGGCCATTTTGTGATTTGTGTCATTTGTCTTTCTTTGAAGTGATTATTTCCCACGATAACTTCCATCTTAGAGAGTTTTCTTTTCTTTCTCAAGTTTGTCACTTTAGATTTGATCAATAATTCGGGAAAAAATTTCGCTCAAAAAACCACAGGTATTATTTAATGGTTGCAATTTTTCAGCGTTTATGGCAGCAGAGTTACCAAACTGTTCATGCGCATGAACTGCAGGTAATCGATGCTTTGTAGAGAAAAAAATGAATGTCGAAACCGCTGCCAAATGCATCAAGTGACAGAGTAGCCTTACAGCTGAGGGATCATTTTTCACTGCGGGAATGCGTAGAACTATTGTTTGTCCGTGTCTGTTGACTGGGTGATCAGCGAAGGGCTGGCAAAGCTTGAGCGGATAATTTTCCCTGCATCCGCTTATGTCAGGTTAGAATACTGTCTGGTTCCAGTGAGTATGTTTGGCTGACTACTATTATCCTATTGGTCCGTTCTAAACTGGTGCTCCACTGCATTTAAACCAGCTTTAATGCATTTTTTGTGTTTTGGATACGCTTTCTTCATAAACTTGACTGACTCATTCTAAATCTGTGCATCTATCATGCTGCTACCAGATTGGGCAATGAAGAATGTTCAGCTTAGTGCAGCATTCTTTCTTCTGCCGGGCAGTCTCACCAAGTCCCAATACCCGATTCAATATATTTCTTCGATGTATGTTCGGTCTCTGATTTATTGACCGGAAGCTGGACCCTGTCAGACGGAAACATTTCCGGCGCTTGCATTTACCCACTCCATCTGAACCTGTCACCTCATGTTTTCTGAATGCAAATGCTGTTTGAAAACTCAGGAAGAAGGAACGGGCGACGTACCCAACCAATTCCACTTTTACAGAGTCTCTTTTGTTGGCGACAAAACGTTTGCGAGCTAAATGCTAAGATCTAATCAAACATCACATTTACTTCATAAGGATTTTACTAATTTTAATTAATAAAATTAAATAAATAAATAAAATTAATCAATATTATCAATTTCCCAATGCCCCTACGTTCGGCTTTTTAGCAGTACTTACAGTGAGGTGTTTCTGTGGTTTAAACGTTCTCAAACGTGTCTAGGATTTACTTTTAATTACCAAACACGGATTTACAGTTTAAAGTAAAGTCACCCAAACGAATATAATTCAGGTGGTAAGTAACGTCTCCAAACTATTAAAAGCCCAACCATCAATCGTTATGAGTAACAGTAATCAATTTCAACCATTTGCTCAGTTTTTCCAGTGTCCTAATTTTGATGACAGGTTCAAAGTGACCTAGATATTAGTTGACATGGCGAACAACCAGAAATAGCTGTCAAAAGCTGACATCATATTTTAAATTTTTGAAACCTCTAAACCCCAGGATTTTTCTTCCATCGGCTCAGCACGCCGTATTTTTTATTCTTTCGTTGAGTTATCTATAACAACTTGAAAAATCTTGAGGAAGTCATCGTTTAGAAGAGCTTGGTAAGCATTTAGCAGTCTAGTTTAACTGGGCAACGTTTCGCATTTGCCACGTTTGGCCACGTTCTGAGGCAGTCGGGAAGCAAATCAATAAGTCATCTTCATATTAGAGCTCTAGATCATTGGTGAAGGTCAGCTAACGGCTGTTGTCGACAAAATCATGCCTTTAGGGGTTGAGGAAGTTTCAGCTTAGTTCCGATCAAGTTTAATTCCTTACTCTTCCAGTTCAAGGTGCTTCAAATGAATGTAGATTTGGTTGATCTATATGGGCTTGTGAGTGGTGCGAAAAAAGAACTGCCTAGTGTTTACGCAGCTTTTCTGAAAAAACCCTGCATTCAATCACGCTGGACTGCGTAAACGCTTTGTGGAAAGCCATCAGTGTTGAACTCACTTGGTAGCTTGAATTATCCATGAATCGACTGACACCAAGGGATGGTATATCACTTGCCCCTCACTGCGGTAATCATGAATCCCGCCGAACGAGAAAATCCCGCTCCTGAACACTCCATCTTCGTCCCTGAGGAGAAGTAAACAATAATTTATAAACTCGAAGCCCTTAATTTTCAAATTGATTTTTGCGTTTATCACGCTTTATAGACAGGCAGCAAGTTGACGATTTTCGGTCTTTCCTATCTTCAAATTAATATATTTTATAGCTCCAAACTGGACCCCGCAGGAAATTTGATCGCCCAACAACACTGGCACACTCTCCATCTATCCAGACTTTTTTCGCATGATGAATTGTTTTTCACGTTTCTCTTGGACATTTCGAATCATTACACGAATGTTCGTCCGTGTTACAATGGTTTGTCCGGTTTCAGTTTCCCACTTCTTACCTAGAAATTTCATTCTTTGTCGTAGTGGCGCATTCAGTAGTTTCAACAAACAGTTTGAGATAGATGTGGAAGTCTAGAGATTTCCGTTTGATGAAGACAAATTTTATGATCCTTTAATCTTGCGGGACAAGCGTCATGATCAGTAGTGTTTCACACACCATCATCGGATGCGGTTAAGCTCTGTCAGGCACAAGATAATCGGATTCCAAACATTTACTGTGGGTGGTGATCACAGAGTTCTCACAGTGGATGGAATCCTGTGGCTCTGGCATAAAGTATTACCGGTCTTATTTGAAGTGGTCGTAAAACTGCTGTCTGGAGGTCACAGCAAACATGATGTGTTCACTCACCTCGGGACACAACAAACCGCATGCTATCGTGAATAAAATCCATTCCTTTCGGTTAGGTAACATAAGCCCGGATCTCGATTTCTCATGTGATATTTCAACTGATTTGTGTAACGCAAAGAAGGTCATTCAAGTTCGGGTTGAAAAACTGATTCTAACCTGGAGTTTGGTTAATCTAGATGCAAATGAGTTTGTCGTGCGTAGAATTGGTTCTTTTACACGAAGCTAATCTACGCTGAAATGCTGAAAAGTGCTGTACAATAGTTTTATGCATATTGGAGTTTTGAAACTGTGCGCATTCCAGGGGTCTCTAATGGAATAGGACCCAACAACCTTCAGGTTAGTAACTGTGGTTTTGGCGGCGTGCGATGATAAGCAGTGCAATTAATTTCCGCTAAACAGGATAATAACAGAGTCCACATCGTACGTTAACTTGGTTCCTGGATGATTGGTTTACGATTTCCCATAAGAAGGGTTTACATCTCGTGTACCATATTCTTACCTTTAGGCTAATTATTGCTTTAAGCGGTAGCCAATCAACACAAATGTAGCCCACTTGTCCGGTGAAATTTCTGCTGGTAATAACCGATATATACTGACAATTCGAAGCACTTCGGAGTTTTTACGCAAAATGAATGTGAATGAAACAGTTATACCATTTCCATGTCTTCATCGTAAATCAAATAAACGTAAACAACTGGATTGTAACACATAGTTTGGATACTTTTTATGACATTTTTAAGTCTTCTTATTTAATCCACACTAGTGGATGAGAAGGCCTTAAACAGCTGGTGGCTAACTAAGACGTAGACAAGAGAGAACTGGTTTCCTTCGACTCCGGGAGAACTTGTCGAAACACCCTCTCGATGACCAAACACCCGAGAAAAGCTCTGGAAGAATATCAAACCATCCAATGATTAATGGCTGTTCACGGCTTCGTCGATCATTGTTCTGTGTTACATTATACTAACGGTAGAAAACCGGTGATGATCTTATACAAGATGAAGCTTACTGCCAAATTTCAGCCCGAAATAATCAGTGAAACGGGTAGTCAGCACCTTACCACGTGATTCGGGTTCCTTGATTTTAGGCTGGAGGGCTACATATCCTGTCTAAATGAGAGTGAATCACACTGCCGATCCGGCGCTCACGCCCAATGGTTTAAACTTCAGCTAATAGCCAGGGGATTGCCAGTTCACACAACTTCAGCCTTTCAGTGCAGAAGGACCATCTATAGAACGTAACTCCTAATCAAAACCTCATTGTCAGATAATCCGAACACTCCCGGCAGAAACGCGTAGAGATTTTACTTGCATTAGTGTGTTGGAATATTGGTAGCTCGGGCGCATTATTTGGTAATTGATCTGTTCGCCGAGCCTGGCAATTGATCTGCTAACATTTCGTCACCGTTCGAGGAAACATCTTCAGTGCGCTGTTGGGGTTTAGTCTCTCTCTCTCTTCGTGCAGGCGTACACATAGATTACAATGGCCATCTGTTGCGCTGTAACCTGGATATCCATTGAAAATCATCACACTTGAGTTCTAGTTGGTCTGTGTTGCGTTCTGGACTGTAGTTCTTGCTACGGCTACACTACTGATAGGATCGCCCTCTAGCATTGTCTATTGTGGTTGGTACGTTTGTGATGTGTACTGTGTCGTGGTCGGTTCCCCTGCGTTTTGGTTGGTTAATGTTGTACGTTCCATTTTTGGTAGTTTGTACTTCCATTAATTTCTTCTTTCAAACCTTGTTCCGCTCCGGGCTTCATACTTCCTTAATTTCCTTTGTTCTCATAGATTTGTAGACAGGATTTATTTGAATGCGTCCGTTTATTGCTGCATCAATTGTGTAACGCGCCTCAATGAACTCGCGTTCTTCCTTTGTTCTTACCCGGCACAGTATGCTGACGTTACTCCAATCGGATTTGTGTCCTTTCTGAGCTTCGTGTACAGAGCTGAGCGAAAGTTAGTCGTGTCTCTTAGTAGCAAGGTTGTGTTCCTTGATTCTCGTTAGCAGTTTGCTCCCAGTTTGTTCCACTTAGTGGCTTTTACATACCTTACATCCTTCTTTGGGTAAGCACTCCTTTGAAATATTTTGTACAGTCGTTTCTATGCTTTTACCATGAAATTGGGGAACCCATTGGCACTGCTTTCAGTTGTTCGTAGCATTCACTGTTGAATTCGAAGTACGCGATCAAACAGAGGTTGAGCGCTTCACAGACGTCTTCTGTTATTAGAAATCCGCTTGGAGATCCATGATTGTCCAGGAGTTCGGTGACCGTTGCCTTTGTGGAATTGATGTCCACTACTGTGAACAGTGAGCTGACATCAAATGAGACCATTCTTTCATCCCCCTCTGTTGTCACATTCCTTAGTTTATCCAGTAAGTGTTGTGCGTTTTCGATTGAGTGTCGCGATTCAATGATGGGATACTTGACCCTTTTCCATATTCCTTTTGCTAGGTTGTAGGTTGGTGTGCCTGGAATTGACACAATTGCCGGTAGTAGTGTGGCCTTTTTGTGCACATCCGGAAGTCCGGTTGTGATCTTTTGGAGGTCCATTGGTAGCTTCAAGCTTTTACTGATTTTGTTCGCACGTTTATGGCTTGGCCATCCTTCGGACAGCGATACGTGGTATTGTCGTTGAGCAGAGCATTCGCTTTGTCTACGTAGTCCGATCTGTCTGTGATAATGGTCATGTGTTCTTTGTACGCAGGTAGAATGATGATGACTTCACTTTCTTCAAATTTCTGAACGCTTCCCTTTACTTGTTTGAGAGAAGACTGAGTGTTTTTGTGTGATAGCCGGTACAGCATTATGATGGAGTTGTTATTCAGCTTTCATATCCAGTTCGGCGGATTCCATTGCTGCCACCGTGGTGGACAAAGTACTTCAGATTGGTGGCATGTTTGAAATTAAACCTTAGTCCTTGAGCCATCTATTTTTTACTAGAGAGATTCTTGATCCATGCTTTGTTGTTCGTGATGATGGTATAAGTGTAATTGTTCCTGACCAGTCTTAAAAGCTTGGCTGCTAGAGTAATTCTCCGCTAACCCGCAGCGGATCTGACTCTTTGTTCGACAGCTATGCTGAGTTATTTTAGTAGAGACAGTCCTTTCGTTCTCAACCTAGTGTCCCCTTCTTCTCCTTTACTTTTATCAGGTTAGCAGATTGGATGTTTTCAGGGGAAAACGAGGATAGATGGCTACCCACACACAGAGGTCTGAGGGAAGTTCCAATGTATGCCCACGCATGACTGGAATTCTCCAACTCGGAGCTCGTTTTCTGAGGAAGCATAGTTATGAAAAAGGCTTTAAATCTATCATCTGTATGCTCGCGTCCAACATTTCTGCTTTCGCACACAGGGGTAAACAGTTGTGCCCGAAAATTGTTTTGTACTGGACCAGTAACTTTGTACCAGTTCCCTTTCCATAATGATGCCAGATGTTCAATCTCAAAGCTTAGACTATCAACAAAAAATTCACTTGCGAGCAGATGGACAAGGGTTCAAGCTATTAGCCGGTAATTCGTGGACGACAAAATTCCTACTAGAAACTTGTCAAAGGTGTACCACTGCTGATCACCAATAAGGAGGAAACTGCAATTCTTTATCGGATAGCCTCACTGAACAGTAAACATATCTGTAATAAATACACCCATTTTCTCTGGCGACAGTAGCCGCTACCTGCTTGAGCTTAAAACCGAATTTTGTTTGAAGTGGCTAGTTGAATTCTCCTTTGGGCAATTATCCTTAGTTTTCCCATGGAGGCTGCTGGATCTGTTATTAAGTATGACACAAATTGATATTTTGTGAACCGTGTTCAGCACCAAGACAGAAAAGAGGAGTGGACTCTCTCTAAATTTATACTCTTGTGCAGTGCGGTTTATGTCAAAGTACATTCTCATCCACGAGGCTACTTAACCAAACCACAATTGGGAGCGTCCGATTTAAGGAAAACAATTGTCGATGAACCGCATACCTACTAAATGCAGTAATCTACGGACTGTTTCATGGAATGCAGCACATACTTGGAAAAATCGATGTAAGAAATATTTTAAGACTTTGTACCACTCAGTCGGTGATTAAAGAAACTTGGACTGCAATGGTGTACGACCATCTACTAGAACAGATTATAATTATGGGTTGACCAACCTGTTCGCGGAATTAAATATACAGATTGTATCAAATGAGATGCGTTAGCTTGCGAACATTCCAAAATTGAAGAACTCACGGGCGAAACCAAAATGTGAATACAGGTTCATTTGGAAGTAGTCTTTGAAGAGCCTGAACAAAGTTTTCTGCAAGGAGGTCAGAGGTAGGTGCGAGTCCCAGTTTTCCAGAAAAATAACGGAGAAAATTTGGAAGCAATCTCAAGTTTTCGATCAGTTGTACGTTAAACCCCGGAATGGCATATTCGCCAATCTGCATTGGGAAAGTTGTAACTAGGAGACTATCGTACCGTTAGCACATCAGTAATTTGTCGTCCTTCCAGTCCTTCGGTACCGGGAACAGTGCAATGCACTAGACCCAATTGTTTGGTTCTGGAGTCGTCAAACTTAAAGGGCCCGAACGTCATCGATCTCAGCCTTTCCACTCCGACAATAAGCGTAGCACCGAACGAGGTGTCTACTTCAACATTTAGAGTTTGACGTGGCGTTCCAACAGCTACTTCCATATACAAATATCCCTGAACGAATTGATCGAATCACATTGACACGTACTAGGTGATGCAGTTTAAGCGTGTGTGAGTACGCTCTCTCTTGACGTGGCGTTCCAACAGCTACTTCCATATACAAATATCCCTGAACGAATTGATCGAATCACATTGACACGTACTAGGTGATGCAGTTTAAGCGTGTGTGAGCCTCCCTCTCTCTTGGGGCGATCGAGCTTTATTTCTTCCGTGTAATTCAAAGTTTCGTTTCTGAATCTTCTGTGTTATGGCAACAATTAAATACATACCTGGTCGACGAAGCATGTAGACACAAACCACACAATTGTAGGGGCAGCCAGATTAAGTACGTTCCGACCATAGGACAGAATGTAATAAAAATATTTGCTGAAGCGAAACGTGTTGTGTGAACGTGAAACCTATGAGTGTGTGTGAGGCTTCACAGCAATTTTTTTTAACTTGACGACGCAAAACGGATTGGTCAGAAGATTCTTTTTAACAACTAACCGAAAAGCTGGAGCGATTCGTTTGAATTGTCTGTCCCACCGAAGTAGTTCTGTGTGATTATTGGTTCGCCGTGTATTTGTCTCTCCAGGACAATTTGTTTTGTAACGTTTCGTTCTGCGAATGATCTGATGTAACTCTGATGGAGACGAAGAATCGGAGTGGTTTTTGCCTCGGAAAATCATTGATCTCCATTTTGTTCATCTACGTGTCGTATCTACAACGCAGAACAATCAAGTTCTCGGTTTAATGAATCCGAGAAGAAGAACAGAACTGTTTTGAATATCACCATGTTGGTCGGCTTTAATTTTTCAATATATTCCTCGGCTCCACTGTAAACGTAAAGGATTTTCAGAATTTACGAACGCCTCGGGTTTGTTTGATTTGATCGCCAAGGATAGCTTCTTCAATGATGATGATGGGTCCCAAAACGGGCGGTCGAGGAGTTTTCAGCAAACTTTCGAATGGTGCATTACGTCTGTGGACTTGGAGGCCTTGTGCACTAAAAGTTCCCTAGAAGCCCCGTTATGAATTTCTCAAAAACCAAGCGTGCAGTTTTCAAGCAGCTTACTTGGCAAACTTTACTGTCATTATTCTCTTCCTCTTATGAGACTGGCAAGGGTGTGATGAACCGAAAATTCATCGACCACTAACATGTCCATCATCGTACGCAGGTTTGCTCGCCACTGTTTCCATATATTCACACCGTCCTCAGTTTGAACTCTTCGCCTATGACAAACGCATCAAGTCAACATCTTCAATCCTCTTTCCTTCAAAACGAATGAAGAAGTTCAGCTCACATCACCGCCTATGACAAACGCATCAAGTCAACATCTTCAATCCTCTTTCCTTCAAAACGAATGAAGAAGTTCAGTCTCACATCACTCTCGTTTTGAATAGTCGTCCTCCTGCTCAAAACGACTGTCCAAAACGAGAGTGATGTGAGACTGAACAATACGCCTCCCGCAAAAAACCATCACATGAATGAAGAAATCTCAGTGTTCGATTTTGAAAAACTTCATACCTGTTTGGCAACTGATGCTCCGATTTATTGTGCCATTTATGGCACAATGATATGTCCAGGTAACCAGTCAGCAATTCGGATGGAACTAATTTAAATGCATACATCGTTGTCTGTGTTAGCCAAAATGTGGCAAACTGGTACGTTGATCTCCATAAATTTTGCTTCCTCCGATCGATTTTCGAGAGATTTGAGTAGGAAAACCTTCACTTATTTCGCATAGGATATTCAAGTCGTTAGGACATTGAATGTGCACACTGTCTACTGCTTAATGAAAAAAATTGACCTTACTTGAATTGTTACATCAAATCGTCAAGACAAATTTAACTAACCTTGTCTTGAATTCTTGCAGCCAGCAGCTGCGTCACTTTCAGTCAAAATATGAATGAAATTATTCCGCTGTCAATAAATTGAAAATAATTACAATTGCAACGTTTGTTGTCTCCCCAGTCTGCACTGCGAAATTCTCTCTAAATATATCGTCCTATGAATGTGAACACCACTATTACGTTCTATTGCACAATGAACTACAGCAAGGAGTGTGGACCTGGAGATAATGCCATAGAACGTGACCCTGTTTGAACATTAGCAATGCAAGGCAGCCAGGCTTTTGAGCTGGGTTTGTTTGAGATGTTTCATCATGAATTAGTTTATTACAACAGCCTCGTGTTTGACGCTGGCGCTTTAAGCAGGTGCGAGTTTTCTAAGGTATGCCTATTGTTTTCTCACTTATTTATTGGTTGCAAGTGAAGACAAGTGGTGCTGACTTGCAAACGGACAACAACTGTATCCAGATGCTCTCCATGAGTTTCGCATGCTTTAAACATCACCTACCCAAAAGATTGATATTTCATATTGGTGAACACTAAGTATATTTGAGTTAAGTATTCCATGTACTTGACAGGAGGCGTTTCATCATACCCTTCATTACGGGACCGCGCACCGTATTTCACACTTCATTCGTATGAATATATAACTGGACTCCAACTGCGTGCCTAGATAAAGTGGTGATGGTGTGGTCACCTCGTGTATATTCGGGATTCTGTAGACGCGTGGGCTATTGGATTATTTGGCTCTCGTTTGCCAATATTCTTCGGTTGTGATCTTTTGGCGGTCCTTCGTTCGCTTGGAGCTTTCATTGATTTTGTTCGGCTTTAATTGGCTTCAAATAGTGGCAAGTGCTGATGACGTTGAAACGGAAAACTGTATCCAACTGGTTTTTTAATAAGCACCGCATGATTTCAACATCACCTACGCACAAAATTGAGATTTCATATTAATGAAAAGTACATACAGGTGAATAAAGTATTCCATGTACTTGACAGGCAACGTTTCAGAATGTCTACCAGTATGCGAACGCGCACTAAACCTCACTTAGCATTCAGATGAATATATGAATGGGCCATAACCACCGATAAAATGGTTCCGGGTCCAGAGGGAGTGTGGGGTGAATGAAACATATTTTTCCAGTAGTATTTGCTGTATAAATTGTGCTATTTTTAGATGCGGCTTCAAATGTTGTAGATAAATCACTCAAAAGGTTTGAGCCGTGCCTACAAAATAAACACATATTTCTTACCTAGGGAGTTAACTGTTGATACATCTGATAGAGACATACCTTTTGTAAACGCTGTATTGGGTACAATTATTGCCCGATCTTAAGATGTTTAGTTTTTGGTCAACAAAAAGAATCTGCTGAGGGTGATATACATGATATATATCGACACAACCGCCGCATTTTAAACTGTAAAATTAGCAACATCGAGCGATACATTTTGTTGCTTTTCTTTATAAGACGACCAAGTTTCACCGACCGCGGTGTTTGCGGAAATTTTATTTTGTGAACGGGCAAAGCGTTCCAACTCAGGTCAACGTCGATTTTGCGTACAAATTTCCACTTGGATATCCTAATGTTCCACAACTATCTACGGGCTTCCGATGGCCCAAAATAGGGATAAATCACAATTCACATGAACCTTTTCTACATGGCGACACACAGTGGGCTGGGTACAGTGACCCCAACTCGATGGTGGAATATACCTGATCGGTGAGGCACAGGTTTTCAAGTAATTGTCAGATGAGAGGGAGGATGTTTTTTTATCCTCAGGTGACCGTTAACTTGAGACCTTTTATCTACACTTTTGTCGGGTTACTATCCCGGTCTCCATGTTGATCCATGGGTACCCTAAAGTAGGCCAGTTTCACTTGTGGTCTCTGAAAACTTGCTTCGGAGCAAACGTGTACATTACTGAAGCCTAATAGGCGCCAAATTGATTCGGATCTGAATCTAAATTTCGCGGCATTATCGCAAAAGAAATGGCATAATGGAACTCATACTGTCATTAGTACGGGACCTTTAAATAAGTTCTTCGAGTTCTCCAGTATATAACGTAAATTTCGCCGATCGTTGATGAGTGCAGGCTGTTGTTCTTTTGTTCACCTGGTCTTGTTCTTTTGGCTTTTAAAAACACCAACAAAACACTTACACGTCGACGTGGTCGCCATACATTCCACAGCAACGTCGGGTTAGTTTCGATGCTGTCATAGTGGGACGGGACCAGCAGTGTTCCTTAATGGTAGACGCGTTCGCCTTATTTATGTGTGGGCGCCATTTCCGTTGATACTCGGGGCTCAACCAAGCACTAATCAAATATTAATATGCTATTTACTTTTGGTCTAGAGAAATGATCCACCCTGTACATGCGTTTGCACGCGTTGTGTTCAATTCTCCATGAAACCGCAGTTTTATATCACAGGCGTATTCATGGTTTAATAGCAAACGTGACCGGTCGTGTCGCGGACATTTCCATGTCACCTCTTCTTTTACACTTACCGCCGCGAATGGTTCTCCCACTAAAACTTACGGACAGCGCACTCTACGACCAAATCTGGGGTGACGCCGCGACTTCCCCATGAATCTTCGTAATTGCTGACGTCCAGCATCCCATTATCGGCGCGGATTTCCTCACTCACTTCAACCTTTTGGTAGACCTGAGACAACAACGTCTTTTTGACGCAAATACTCAACTATCTAAGAAAGGACATTCTATCGTCCTACCCTCCATCTATCCAAACACAAGTTTTAAAAGCGACGATTCACCTAATCACGCACTGCTACATCAGTTTCCAGATTTGACTAAACCAAATTTCCATGACCCCAAACCAAAACACTCCGTTGTTCATCACATTTGTACGCATGGTCCTCCGGTTTTTACGCGTCTACGTCGTTTG